TGAGTTTTATTCTGTTTCTGTCCACTTTGAATGAAGTTACGATGATCTGAAGGTAAAATGAGTGTTTTTGTCTCTGGAGTCTGGTGGAGAGTGATAGTGATATTACTGTTGGTGGTTAAACTAAAGGTCTATCTCTGTAGGGATCCTTTCCATAATGCTGCTATAATCTGTAACATTTCCTTGTTGTATAAACAGTGTATGAACTCTAGCTCTACGTTCTGTATGTAGTTAAGTTGTGTACAATCTGCAGCAGTCACCTCTTGTGTCTCTTTGGGCAGGTGGAGGCCGTTCCTCTTCCCCAGTTTGATCAGTCGCTCCATGTAACGCTTGGACTCTGCACTGAGGCTGTCGGCGTCGATTTTCTTCTGCAGACAGAAACAAACAGGAGACCTTTAGAAACCAGAACCTGGGAGAAGAACTGAAACAGAGCGGCTGCAGATTCTGAAGTAACCTTTTACTCACAGACACAAAGTGGCATTTGGTGCCACTATGGCCAAAATGTTGCTTTTAATTCACCAATATTTGGTGACGTTTGAACCATAAATTGGTGAATTAAAAGCAAGCAGTCTTAGACTTAAAGGTTCCACATGTCAGATTTTTAATGTGGGTCTGGTGTTGGTTGCTTTCTGAATTATATTATATTATTTATATTAAGTTTTATTGTTTTCACTTTTCAGAAAAGATGGAAGGAACTGAGATCTGCTGACAGACCTATCGTCCAATCATCTGTCTGCTGACTGGACGGCGGTTCGCTCTGCGTCGGCTCACCTCCAGAGCGACGATCCTCAGGTAGACGTCCTCCCTCATGCTCATCTCCACGTCGAACTCGGACAGACGCTTGTCGGCTTCCGTGCTCGCGGCTCGGACCTCCTTACTGGGGGACACGTGCTGCGGGAAGTCCAACATGTTCCTCTGGACTGAGACACAGGAGGCGGGGTCAGATGGGAGAGGGCGGAGTCAGAGAGGAGAGGGCGGGGTCAGAGGGCGGAGTCAAAGAAACAGTTTGAATTACTTCAACTTTCAGCATCCAACAGGAGCTGCAACTATATTTATTATACTTTATTTTTCCTTAATTTACTGAACTTCATTTAATGAAAATTTCTCATTTACTCCTTAAAACAAATCCCCATCGGTAACCAGATCAACAGTGATGCTTTAAGATGCTAATTTCTTCTGATCGACAGCCTCAAACAACAAAATATATTAAATACTATTGAAGCTTCTGTATACGCAGCACATTTTATTCTTCATCAACAAATAACTTTATTGTAATAAATAAATAAATGTGTCACAATTTGCTTATAATGGATATAATTTTGCTGGTTTGTTCTGAACACTATTTATTATTTTATTGATTAATTAAATATGATTGCCAGCGATGAGTCTAAAGATGATGGGACATATTTAAAGTGTCTCGCTGTATAAAACCATCCCAACTGTGAGTGACTCTGTAATACTGTGTAATATATTTAATCCACTCTGTAAGCATCGGAAATGACTCGTATCAACTGATTGATTAGTCCAGTGGTGTTTGTGACAATCAATGATACTGAAATGAGTAACAGTATGAATATACATTTATCATTGTTGTTGGCCTGAAAAGATTCAGACATATTTATTCTGTCCAACGTCATGGTGAATAGTCTTCAGAGTCCTGAGTCAGAGGAGCTGTACGACTCGTGTGCTGCTGGGAATATTTAAAGACGTCACCACGGAGAAACTGGGAGGAACAGTTCATTAAACGTTCTTTGTTTTACTTGTCTTATGTTTTTCTTTTAAGAACCTTTTAGTTTAGTTTACATTTACACTGTAAAAAAGATCTGTCAGTTTACAGGGTTTGTAATGCTTATTTTTGTTTAGTTTTTTAAATACATGGAAATATTAATACAACTATAAAAATAGTCTGAAGTTACATTTCTAATGTAAAATAATGTGAAAACTTCTAACTGGAAATGATCATAAAAATGTTTTTCCACATAAAAAAAGATAATAAATAATAAATCCATCTTTTTTTGCAATGTTCAGTTTATTAATAGATTAAAGTGTTAAATTCCAGTTTGACACTGTTAATATAAAACTGTATTTTAATTTTATAACTTTAATGTCAAAGTGTTTTTGTTTTTACTTTTGTAATGTGATTAGTATTTTCTGGCTGAAATAATAATCCACATTTAAAGTGATGAGTTGGTCTGAAGTGATGAAGAGTGTTGGAGGTGTTTTTCAGCAACACAAAGCCTCGTCTCTATTGTAGCGGCGGCGGCGTTGGCGGCGGCGGGTTCAGCTGCTTTCTCTACAAACTGCTGACGCGTATTTACCGTCACACACCGATTGTGCCGACTCACTGCTTTACCGCACCGCTCACAATGTGCTGTGTGTTTGAACTCTTTACATTCGGGTTCATCGTCCGTCGACTCTTCCACCTGCAGAAATATCTGGAGGCTGAATTTAAACGATGGAACAAAGAGAAACGTCTGCCGGCTGTGAGTCTGTTGTTGCAGAGAGTGTACGTGATCCATCGGCTTCGTCTGGGCCATCAGTGATACAGTATCGGCCCGGTTCTGATGAATTTAACCAGAAACATTTCTCTCTCTCCCTCAGAAGTGTAAAAACTACAGGTTACACACTTCTTGTTAAAATACAAAACTGTGAAATGATCCACATTGTTCATCTCTAAAGAGGTTCTAGTAGTTCTGCTTCTTTGAATCCGTTTGAGGCCCAGCTGTTTGTTTGATTCCTGTTCTTCTGATTCTGACGTCTGACCGTGTCACTGCTCACGCCTACACCGAGCGACACCGAGCGACACCGACCGACGCGGCCCATCAGAGGAGGAGAGGTTGTTTTAACGAGAGCCGATACGTCGACGTGTTGTTGGTCCCGGTTCTTCTTCAGTTCTTCCAGATGTGACGCAGGCAGCGAACACGCCGCAGTGTTTCCCTTTAATGACTTTATTAATTAACAAACGCAGGTTTTACTTTATTGACACACACACACTAACTGCCCCCCCCCACAGTACCATAACAATAAACAGACTAATAATAATTATCATAATAATAATAATTATTTTTCACCCCTTCTTGTTTTTTCAACAGATGTACAAACATTCCCATTTTCTTCATTAATCCTTTTTTATGTTTTGTCCTGATCAATTAAAGAAATTATAATGTAATATATATATAAATAAAAGTATAATTAAATATATTTTTAAATATTTCGGACCAGAACTCACCGGTGTAATCGACCTCCACGTCGGCGAGGGCCTTCAGCGTGTTCTCGAAGGTGACGCTGTCCGGGTCCAGGCCTCCCACGACGTCGT